CAGATTGGGAAGTAACTGCTGTTCTAAGGTTACAGTATAAGTTATATCATTCTTTTCACATCTTGCGTGACTTTTTAAGAAAATTGTGCTTCTCGGAAAATAAACAACTTTACTTTTAGAAGTCCTGAAATATATTAAAGGCTATTAAATCCAGTTAGACAATGACAACAACAAGGTTTTCAAACTGAGTTAACAGAGGTCTTTGCTGGTCATGCGAGGATCAGCGAGGTTGGGCGTATTTCTGCGGAACATGTGTCTCAAATTCTACTAACATCATCAGTGTTCATTAAAGTATCCTGGTTGAAGTCTCCCTGGTACAGCCTGAAGGAGGTCAGGCACGCTGGCATGTTGACAGAGCACAAAGCAAAAGAGCTGTTCTGCAGGCCGTCTGCATGTCTGTCCCGTTTGCTGTTTATGGTCAACTGAAGGACAGAAAATTGGTCTTGTAAGATTTTTGCAAGACATGTACAGTAGTCGTGTTGGGCACAGATTATTATTTTTGTTGTTGTCTTTTTGTATATAACAGAAATGTACCATTTAATTAGCAAAGAGAGCCTTTTTAAATATTCTAGTAGGTGTGCCAGACACCCAACCAGAGCTTATTGGTGACACTCTCATCCTGGTAATGTAGAGCAGTCTGATGTGACGGCACAAGGCGCAGTTTACTGAAAGTTCAAATACTTTGTTGAGTCACCCTCGGGCACAAGAACTATATAGATTTCTATCATATTAATGAATTGTTTTTAACACTTCAGATCACTTTTATATCTATGCAAGACGTGATGTTTCCCAGCTGAATTGTTCTGTTTTTGTATGTTAAGAACTTGTAAATGTACGCGTCTGAGTTTGGGTACCCTTCATTTCTTTTGCATTAATAATGTAAAAGATGGGACTGCACTACAGTCAACATGAACGTGCAACACTGCTATTAAATCTGCACGGATAATTCAAAATCTAAAGTGTGCCTGTGCGCTCTCACACCCACCTCATGAAGAGGATGAGGAAGTCAATGGGGTACTTCATTCATAATGGGACTATAACGTAATTAAAATTGGAAGGGGGGAAAATGTGGATACACCTTTCCACTTGTAATGAGAGTATGCTTGGTGGAAGAGCTAAAACGCATATTATGGAACCATGAGATCTCTGTAGAGATAAAGATAGGAGCGGGGGGGAAAAAAACATCTGACAGTGAGTCTACACAATTAAATGCTTTAATTATAGTCCCCCTCCATTTCCTTTAGTCCTGATGGGTTTTATCTAATGAGATCTGGTCCCTGGCTTGTATCCGCTCCCAATGACGTGTCCGAAATGAATGAGAGCCACACTGCAAACAAAACATTTAATTAACCAAATTGGCTTTTGAGAGAGAGCAAGAGAGAAAGACAGATAGAGAAGAGGGATTATTGCGAAGGCCATTTGCCGCTGTTTTTTTCCCCCTCATCTTAAAGGGGCAGACTCATTTTTGTAATAGATTGCTAAACTGGCCAGACGACATACATTTTGAGCTGTAGCACCAAAGCCATATTAATACAGCTGATATGAAAATGCTCATCTGATTGATTTGGAGCCGAAATGCATCGCATCACAGCAGCTATAATGGGATGTGTGCTTGGCCTGGGATGATACCCATCTCCCATCAATCAAGCAGGAATATTCCCAAAGCTCACAGGACAGGCACCAGCCCTGTTTTTCACGCAGTGCTGCCACCAAAAGCTTTGATGTCAAACTTTAAGCCAAAGTTGCGTTTGCTGTGGGGATCATGTTGTTGTAAGCTGGAGGTGATATTATTTCTGTGGGCTGCTAGTAGAGGGAGAATTAATTTACTTGTGGCTGCTGGATTCAGGGAGAATGCTGTCCCCTTAATTGAATAAGCCTAGGTAATTAAATGGCACTTTTCCAATAGAACGTGTGAGGTAAATCTAATAGTTGGTTATTTAATATCACTTTGAAGTCTGCCCACTCAAGCACTATGACAGCACAAGAGAATGTGAACTATTAGGCCAGGAAAAAACCGGGATCTCAGAAATTAATTAAATCGCATGCAATTTAGGGGAAACGTTTATCTTGATTTGTCATAACAGAATTAATTCAAGGCCTTCAATTCACTTGGGGCCAGATCTGTTACTCTGAATTAACCAAGTGTAATTTGGCTGATCCCCCCCCCACCACCACCACC